AACATATATTTATATCTCTAAATAAAGCATTTAATAGCTCACAAATTTATTAATCAATTATTTTGCCAACAATTCATATTTATGATTTCATATTTATTTCTTAATGTATTTTTAATTATGACAGGAATGGTCATCCATACTCAATGCACATCAAGCAAAGGGCCAAAGCATTGCTTGTGACATGAGTAATGTGTGTAAATGTTTAAATGATCAAAGCACTGCACAGAACAGCGTGAATGCAGGACCTTTTGATGCTCCTTGATGTGCGTCCACCCTAGACTTTACGTGTAGAACAGCTACTCCTGATGCTCCAAGCATGTTTAGTTTGAAAACACCATCTTTTCTACTTAAGGCCCTAGTCCTACTGAATATCCTCTGCACTATTAGCATATCTTCATCGAAATTATACCTTTAAGTCCTAAGAGTATCTCAGATTTTTCTTAAAATTATGTCACATAGTGCTACTTTTAGTATTGTTTGTGAGTACGTGCTCAGATCAATAGAAAAACCCCAGCTTACATAATTAAATAATATATTAATGGAATTACTCACCAGACACGAACAGAATAGTAACAAAATATTAAAACAAAGCTTCAGTCCTGCTTGTTTTTTCTCTTCCTGCAAAAGGTGAAAGGAATTTATACCCAAAACTGTTTGAAGAGTGATGGTAAAGTTCACCTGCATTGAATTTTCATGTTTGTTTTAGGACTGGGTAAAGTACAGTAGCCGATGCAAATCACAAATAAATACAATGTTTTTCCATGAATTCAAAAGGACCTTTAAACTAAAACAACATGACATACATACACAAAGTGACCTTAGCTGCAGGACTAATCCAGAATCACCAAGGGCATCTTGGCTTCTTCTATGATTAATGCTCTCTCTGTCCAGCCTGTCAGCTTTGGTGTGAAGTAATTTCTCAGAAGATTTGTGGTTGTGGTATATTTCTGCCTTTTTTAGACATTGGATGTTTTAGTTTTAGTTTTATTCAAAGTATCCCCATTAGCTACAGCTATGCCGCAGCTATTCTTCCTGGGGTCCTGAAAAAATATATACATTAAAAACAAAACCTAGAATACAACCAATATTTGAAAGAAAAAGAAAATACACAAAGACATATACAAATACATATACAATATATACACATATTAACGTACATATGTACCCTCGTGCGGGCGTGATATGAGAAATATAAAACACATTCTACTATTACACCTGTAAACATACCTACACATATACATACATATTCACGCACATATATAAATATAAACATTTAGTTATATTATTTTGATAAATGCTGTTTTACATATAATTTGAATTTATTGACATTATTAGCAAGCAGGATATGTTTTGGCAGGTTATTCCATTCTTTCATACCTCTAAACACAACAGTATTTTTTATGGCATCTGTTCTCACTATGGGTAAAGTGAAATTACCCTTAGTTGCTAGTACTGTACTGATGATTTACTACACTGAAAGAAAGATGCTTGAACAAAACAGAAGGAAATTTGGAATTAGAAATATTTCTTATGAAAATTAACAATGAATACAACAATCTATCTTTGACCAACAACCAATTAAGATCTTTGTGCA